ACCTCACATCGTTCACAGTACAAGGAAGAAAGTGGAGAAGTAAATTAAATTGCGTAAAGATTTCCTTACATCAGCCACTTTTGAAGCATAAAATGAAGAGGAGCAAAATTGTGCCTCCTCCGGGGTTTGTAGATGATCAGTCTGCCCATCAATCTTTGCCTCGCTTGAAGCAGTTCTCGCATTAACAGCATTAAATGTCAGACGCTGGTTGAGAAAGTGTTGATGTCATTGTGACTCAAAGGATCGAAAAAAAGTCACAAAAATATACATTTGACAAGTGGTTTTAAGAGTTAAGCCTCAGGGTTTGTTTATTTTAATTATGAATCAGACAAAGCGGCATTTTTTTGGTCCTCTTGCATCGCGGTATTTGCGTGGTTAAGTTAACGACTTCGATTTCCACCCCCTCACGCCCCCTCCCACCCCCACCGCCACCTTCTAATGGCCAATGCGTCCAATGCATGGCAAAAGTTGCATTCTTTCATCTCAAGAGGTCTCAACCAGCCTTACTAATGGCTACCAAGGCGAAGTATGGTGATGGAAGTTGATGCTCATGTTTGCTAGTTTTAAAATGCAGCGTTTAGCGCCTACCACCACCCCTTTAAAAAAAACGGCTCCCTTTTTTTAAAAACGGACACCTTAACACAAAATAAATTGTCAAAAATAAAACAATTTTCTCCCAAGGGACAGAATCATTAGTATATGGCCCATCATGTCTTGGCGCTTCATGCAGGTCACGCTCGAGTGGAAATGTTATTGCAGGGAGGGCTGAAGCCACTCCCTGGAAGGGTTAGGAGAGGCACTAACCATCAGTCATGGAATCCGTGATAAGCTACTCCTAATTGCTGCATTGCAAAACCAAATCAAACTCGCTATCCGCTATCACCTCGACCATTGTTGAGAGGCACTAAGTCAGGTAATAAACTGCTCTTGTTATGAGCACGATTTACTACTTAAATAATATGCCAACTTCAGTAGTATCGGTAGCAAGAGGGATTAGTTATTCCATGTTCACCGGGTAAAGAAGGTCTTTTACGTAGGTACAAGGGAATGCATTAGACGGCTTTATAACCTATTTCGTGGAGTTTTAAATCACATTTATTTCTTTTTTCACGCAGTCAAGTCGATTGTGACAACTCAGCTGTTTTTGATTGTGCCATTGGAGGTATTAACATGGAACACATCCGGGCATATTGCTCGATGACCTCAAAGGAGACTGCCTTATTCAAATAAGGTCGAAGTAGTCCTTTCTATTGCTAAATCTCACTGCACCACGCTTTGCGGGGATGGCGCTTTTGTTTTACCGGGAAAAGGCCTGTGGCAATCCTGTAAAAAGCCGGATGTAAGGCTATGCTACCAACACTCCCCAATGGGATTGATTTGATTATTTTAAAATCGCCAAACAAGGGCTATAAATAGGGTTAAATGGATGCTAAGTGCATACTACTTAAATCGGGAGTCCAGCCTACTTAAATGAATTAAGTTTCCCATTTTGTCATTTTTTTTGTGAATGTGACACCACTCTACTTAATACATCAGTCAGAATTTGAGCTAAATGGAGAGGAGATCTTCAAATTTGCAGCCCACAGAACACCCGCATCGACGCCAAGGGAGTTAAAAGGCAGCCACATTTTGAGTCTCACCGACACTTTTAAACAACCACAGGAAAAAAAGTGTTAGTTTTACCATTTTTTCCAACAAAATAAAAGAGATGGCTTCTTCTTCCTCCCTTTACCCTCTTTTTTTTTAATCAGTCGTGCTAATTAGACCGCAGTGAAACGGCTGAGGTCACGTTACACCCCATGTACGCTGCTCGGCTTGGAGGCAAATCCACCAGCAGGTTAGGCGCTAAGACACTTTTTACCACAGCCGAGGAAAAGGGTACCTTTTTTCTCTTCCTTTTTTTCCGTGATGGAAAATTTAGTCCAATTAAAATTACACATTGCCCATAAAAATTTGGTAAAATTGTGGATTAGTGCTACAGCCTGTCTACTTTAAGTGGGTGGAGCCCACAAGGTGGCGTTTGTAAGAACCTCTGAGTTGAAGAACTGCCGATTCGCGCCATCCACAAGGTGCATCAACCCCAGAAGAGGAGGAGGAGGAGGGGACTTAAAACCAGAGATGGAAGAAAAGAACACGAAGTGCTCACTACTTTCCCCGTCCCCAAAGGTGGCTTTCACATTCAAGCATCAAAAGTAAAACAAATTTAGACTTTTTTGTAGCCAGGGAAGAGAAGGCACCTTGTAGCCTCCAAACACCACTCCTCCGCACTACAACAAAGGACTGATAACGTCGGAGTACTTTAGTGTGGTGCGAAAGATAACATCGAGAATGCATTGTTGTGTGGTCGCCACCTCTTACAGTCGCCAAAACCCTAGCAAAAGCCATCATCCTCTCCCCCCCCCCC